CGGGTGCCGTAACCACGGGACGGCGGTGCAAACACGGGTGAGCGCCACGTGTCCGAGCAGCTCCCCTGGCTCCCGCCAGACGGGGAATCATAACCCCACGTGCCGGGTTCTGAGCAGCTCCCATCCTCTCTGCTCTGAGCTACTTGGGCACCTTTGCCTTTCTGGGTGCCTTTTGGGTGCCTCCCGTCCCTCCTCCACCTCTGTTTCTCCCTGTTTCAGCCCTCCAGGGTCTCTCCCCCTGCAGCAGCACAAGAGCGGTCAGCCCCGGCGGGGAGCTCAGATCAGCACCGCTGGGGACAAATCCTGGCTGCAGCCAGCTCCCAGCGCAGCACCCCAGCCCCATGGGGCTGCCTCCCCCCTTTCACAACGTGAGAAGGTGACAAGGTGTTACCAGCCAAGTTCCGCAGGTGGGACCGGTCAGGGTGGCAGGGGACAGGCAGCAGCTGAACCCAGGGGGGGGCAGCCCCAGCTGCGTCGGCAGGGGACCACTGCCTGCTCTCCTGCGCCTGCTCTGCCTTTGCTGGCCTCACGAGGAAAGCTGGAGAAGCCCGTAACTCGCTGTAGCAAGAAGAAACACTGAGGATGCTCCAGGTAGCAGCGAGGCAGCCCTGGAGGGGCTTAGCCCTGACCCTGGGGAAGAAATAAAGGAAGCCATAAAGGGACGAGTGGCAAAGGACAGATGGGTAAAAATAGAGCAGAAGGAGAAAACAGAAGTATAAATGACTGTAAAGAATAAAAATCAGGAGGGAAAGGGACGGAGAGTCTTGCGGAGGGGCCCAGCACGTTCCTGAGCCTGAGCTGGGGACCGCAGACACGTCCGGATCCGCCGTTAGAGCTGACGATTGCCCAACACGGCCCAAGGGGCTGAGTCAGGGCCCGGCGCTGGCTGTGTCAGGAAGGGCGGTGGCTGCGGGGTGAGGCTCACAACCGCTCCGGCTCCCGCTTCGCCACATCGCACCGCGGCCGTGCCGAAGATCGAGCCCCCTCCTCGCACCCCAGCCATGGTGAGTGAGCCGGGACCCCGCGACAGGGAGGGAGAAGCGGCTGCGTAATGGCAGGGGGGCGAAGGCAGAGGAGCTTTTCCCCCGCCAACGGCCCCAGAGCTGAAGACGCAGACGCGCTTTGGCACAGAAAAGAGGAAACGGTGCCAAGGGCTGAGTTAATCCCCGCTGGGGAGGGGGCCTGGGAAGATGGTGCCGAGTTAGAGAGGGAGGGCAGAGGGTCCCTGCAGATGTGGGGGACCAAGGGGGTGGCATTCGTCTTGGTCCCCACCACCTCCTCCCCTCCTTTTCCCTCTGATGCTTCCGGCACCCATCACCAGACTCGGGGCTGCAGCTCGTGTTTGCCCAACACCAGGGTGCAGAGGAGGCAAGAGCTGGGGACCTGCGGCTGGGGGGGGGAGGAACTCGGCTCCTCTCTCATTAACCAAAAAAGGCTGAACTGAGCCTCAGGCAGGGCAGGATGCGGCAGGGAGTCCCCACCATGCT